AGATGGCCAGAAGTGGGGGCGGCCCATCGTGAGGTTTTGGTAGGCCCGGCCAAGAATTGAAGCCTGCTGATAGATTGAAAGAAAAGGTAGCAGGGCGCCTGGGTGGCTCAGTCGATTAAGCAACTGCCTTCAGCTCAGGTCATGATCCCAGGACTCTGGGATCGAGCCTCACATCAGGCTCCTTGCTCCCCGGGGAGCCTGCTTCTCTCTCTCCCTCTGCCTGCCTCTCCCCCTGCTTGTGCTCTCTCTCTCACTCTCTCTCTCTCTCTCTCTGTTAAATAAATAAATAAATAAATCTTTAAATTAAAAAAAAAAGAAAGAAAAAGAAAAGGAAGGAACCAAGAAATTCGAGACATGCATGAGATTAAAGCAAAGCAGGTGTCAGAAAATGGGATTAAGTAGCAAGAAGAGAGGCAGCTATGCTCAGAGAGGGGGCAGCCCAGCCTGCCCAGGTCACCCCATGTTGTTGGGGGGTTTCTGGTTTGGTTTTGGGAAGATGATATTTTTACCCCGCTTTGTTGTAAAGCGGAAAACACTCCTTCACTGCAACCGACATTTCCACCTAGGCTGACTCACCCACAGGCAGGTTTCGCACCTGAAGATTGTCAAGCCGATTTGTAGCGTAAAGGAGGGAGTGGGGCAGGCCGGGTCAGGCCCAGACAAAGTCAGCGCCCAGCTGAGTGGCATGCTGGGGGCAGGAAGACACAGGTGGTGAGGGCAAACTCTGCCCAGGGAGCCTTGGGGGTGGACACTGGGGAAATGGAATTCTTTCAAGTGGTGAAACACAGCGTCTGAGCCAGGGGAGACCGCACCCGCTGTGCTGAAGCCAGGGAGCCACTGGAATGATGACAAACTGCCATCTAATGAGAAAGAAAAAGCCCAGGACTGTGACCTGCATCTGGCACTGCCCACGTCACAACGGGAGCTTACTGATTTCTTGAAGGAATTAACTTTTTAAGTCATTTTGATACCAAAAAAAAAAAAGTCTATAGTCTAACACGGTGATACTTCCTAAAATAGCAGAACCTATAGAGGACTATGAATCCAAGAAAGAACCAGAAAAAGAACCAACATTAAGAAGCGTCAAACACAATGGGGGGGGGGCAGTGCGCCAGGGTGGCTCAGTCAGTTGAGCATTGGACTCTTGATTTCGGCTCAGGTCTTGATCTTAGGGTCGTGAGATCAAGCCCCACATCTCTGTTTGAGATCATCTCTCTCCCTCTCCCTCTGTCCCTCCCCCACTCTCTCTCCAAAATAAATTAATTCTTAAAAAAAAAAAAAAAAGAAGTGTCAAACACCACAGGTGCTGCTCTCTTCATTGACACAGAAACAGCTTTATGTCTGATGCCTGCAACGGAATGTGAGACCAACTGATTCCATCATATCTCACAAGACTGTAAATTCCTTAATTCCTTTGACCCTCAGGTTCTCTATCTGCAAAATGGACACAAAAATACTGCCTACCTCATGTTTAAATGAGGTAATACATCGGCAATCTTAGCAGGTGATATTAGCACAGAGGCTTAGATATTATTGATGACATGACTGCGACCCCAACCCAAACCCTTGCATTCATCTGTCCTTTCTCAGACTTCTCATGCCCCCACTCCAGTACTGTTGTGTGCCTCCAACTCATCTCCATGATGTCCCCCTCTGGCCTCTTCTGGCAATTCCTTCCTGTCCCTCCATCTTTCCCTCCTCTAGCTCCTTCCCTCAGGTGAAACCTGAGTCTATGGCAAGAACATCATTGCCCCTATGGTCTTCTCAAGACAAGCACCAGTTTAGGAGCAGATGGGAGACCAGCACTCCCGTGCTTCCACGATGGCACTTCTCCATTCCTACTCCCCTTCCCCATCACCCCCTTTGAAATACATGCATGTCATTAGCCCATGCACTCCCCCCATCCCCAGTTGTCAGGTGAAGATCTTGATCAATTCTTCACATTCTGTGAAGGCTTGGGCACAAGCCCAGTCTCCCCTTTCACACCTGATGCTGACATCTGTTCAGGCAACTTTATGGCGACATGGCACAACGTCACTTATAAAATGTCCCCCTCCTCAAATCAAACTTCAACTCAGCCTCTATTTATAACTCAGAGTTGGGGAACATGCTAAATCACAGCATACGAATGCACATCAACAAAACCCAGAAGATGAAAAACTATAGAACACATTCCCTGGTTTCTCCAAAACATAAATTGCAAAGATGAGGGGGGTAAGAAACATAGATTAGAAGTAAAAAGAAACAAATCAAACAAATGCAGTGTGTAGGCCTTATCTAGATTTTCTTCTTTTTTTTTTTTTTAAGACTTTATTCATTTGAGAGAGAGAGAGAGACAGAGCACAAGCAAGGGGAGAGGCAGAGAGAGAGGGAGAAGCAGATGCCCCGCTGAGCTGAGAGCCCAACGTGGAGCTCAATCCCGGGACCTGGAGATCATGACCTGAGCTGAAGGCAGATGCTTAACCATTTGAGCCAACCAGGTGCCCCCTTATCTGGATTTTCATTCAAACAAATTCAACTGCAAGTATATACATAAACAAGTAAAAACAACTTTTGGGGGGAAACAAATAGGGATTTTTTTTTTCAAATAGGGATATTTTAACACTGACTGGTTATTTGGTGATATTAGGGAATCAGCGCTGATCTTTAAATCTATGATCATGAAAGCGTTCCTGCGTTTTAATTAAATATTTACAGACCGAGTACTTTGGTATCTGGGAATTGCTTCAAAGTAACTCAGGGGGTATGTAAGGGGGGAAATAATGAGTTGTGTGTTATAGGGTGTAACAAGATGGCCATTGGTTGGTTGAAGCTGTGTGACAGGGGGGAGGGGTGGGGAGGGGCTCCTTGTATGATTCTCTGTTTTTGTATTTTGGTCTTTTTCTAAAGATTTATGCACCTGTCTTTCTACCCGGGCTTTCACTGAGTTCTCGCCATTTCTCATCTTACTCACTGCTGCTCTCCCTACTACTTCTACTTCTGTTTTCCTCCCCACATCCCTTTCCCCCTGCTTGGACTTTGTCACAGTTCCCCCAGTGTTCCCCTGTTCAAGTTCAAACTACTAGACTTGGTTGAGGTAACAGTTTCACTTCACCTGCAACTACTCCACCCCACCCCTACACCTTGCATACTTTCCACTTCATCCAGTTTGCCAAGCTGATGGCACAGTTGACATTTTGGATGGGGCAATTCTTCATTGTGCAGGACGATCCTGTGCATTCCGATAGGTTTAGCATCCCTGCCCCCTGCCCACTAAATACCCATAGTACCTCACCTTCAGACATTCTGAGAACTAAAAAATGCCCCCAGATATTTCCAAACACCTCCTGCTTTTCCAGCTGGGTGGTTCCTACTGGCCACTAATACCTCAGCTCAAATATGGAACTATACACTCTTGTCATCCCCATAGTTCAAGAACATCGAATATTGGCTATTTAATATGATTCAACCAAGTATTCTTTCCTTCTGCAAGCCCTCACTACTGATGCCCTACAGAACTCTGTGACTCTCTTTATCCAAGTGCTTACACCATGTGTGGTAAAAGCTGATTATTTTGTCCCCTCCCTCTCACCTCACTGCTCAGCCCTAATTACCTGGGAGTAAAGACCAAGTCCTAATTTATCTCTTGGCATCACAAGCTTCACTTGCCTCAGTACCTGGCACATAATAGGTACTAAACCCATGTTCAATGAATAAACAAACAGGTTATTGAGCATACTTTCCCTGATGACTCAGTGTTACTATTCCTGGGCATAGAGTTGACTTCTGGGCTGATTGGGCCACTTACAGCTCTGGGCTCTACACAAATGACCCACCATTGCCCTGCTTTATGGGTTTGTGTGTCTGGATTTTGCATCATATCATCAGTGTGCCTGCCTCCAGCGATCCTTCGTGGCCTTTGGAGTCTAAGGCAGATAGTCCTGAGTGCTGTGTCAAGCCACAGACTTTGCTACTTGAATCCTGTGATAGTAACTCCCCTGGTTCAGGACCCTTTCTTCTTATGTCTGGGTTCTTGCTAAGTTTCACACACCTCAAGTCTCTCCTCTGCTTAGTGAGGAATCGGTTCCTAGAACCCTCTGCCTTGTCATTTCTTTTTGGAAACTGCTTAAGGATGACTCTGGAGGACTTTTGAAATAGAGAAGTGTTTCTGTGCTGAGATGTCCATTGCTAGGTCCCTCGCTGGATGACAATGATGGACATAGGGATTTCTCAAGGTATTTTCCTGGTGGTTATTATGTCCCTGTAGTCACAAAGTAGATAGATATACTTTATTTTGAAAAGTTTTATATAAATAAACGCTGAGCTATAGATCTCTAATGGAGCTATGAATTTTCTAATTTTTGGTTTTGATGACTTTGAATTAAAAAAAAAAACCCTTTCCATTATAATTCATATAGAATGAAAACCAGGACCATGAGGAACAGGGATAAGGGGAACAGCTAGGCAGAAGCGAATAGGGAAATACGATTCCCACCCCCCACCACCAATTTTTAGATTTACCATACCTTTAAATATTTAAAAAAAGTTAACATGTATCTTAAAAAGTGCTATATAACTCTATCAACAAGCAATTTTTAGTTCATTCTTTTATTTTCAATACTTATTTTTACCATCATTTTTCTCTTTTACAGGATAATTACAAGGGTTTAGGAAACAAAACTATGTAGAAGAAGAGTGTTAAATAGTTTTTTACAAATAGCTTGCTGCTTACAACAAAGTCCATATAACCTCATTCCTCCAAACATAACATTATATCTCATACTAAATCAAATAGCTTATAGGAAATTAGTATTAAATAGCAAAAACAGACACACGAAAAATACACACACATATATATATAAATAACATAAAATAGAGTTTGACTCTAAGGTGATGCTTAACAAAGCAAACTATGATGCAATATGTATCAACTTCATTAATTGGACAAGTCCAATGAAGCACAAATCGGGCATGCGCTACACTCTCAACCACCAACTCCAGCTAGATTCATTTTGTTCATGGGCTCTGTTCAATTCCATTCCAGAGAGCATCCGTTTTACATCTTCTTGACTCTGTGGCTGTAAAGAGAAAAAGAAAAGAAAAGACTCTTTATTTTTCAGTTTTTAACAAACCAATGTCATGTAGTCTGTAAATTATATAAATAGGAGGCATCTTTGCAACAAAAGCCAAGCAGCTAGCGACTATCAAATCCATAGAAGAATCTTATACATCATGGGAAAATCACTAAATTAAAAAAAAATTTTACTTATTTTATTTTTTATTTTTCTTTAAGATTTTATTTATTTATTTGACAGAGAGAGACACCACAAGAGAGGGAACACAAGCAGAGGGGGTGGGAGAGGGAGAAGCAGGCTTCCTGCTGAGCAGGGGATCTGATGTGGGGCTGGATCCCAGGACCCTGGGATCATGACCTGAGCCGAAGGCAGATGCTTAATGACTGAGCCACCTAGGCGCCCCTAAAAAAATTTTTTAAATGATGTATAAGTGGAAAAAATGAATTTTTGTTTTCATGATCCAACTCATATTTCCCTTTTAAAATTCTACTCTGCTGGGGCGCCTGGGGTGACTCAGTTGGTTACACAACCAACTCTGGAGTTCTGCTCAGGGTCATGATCCCAGGGTCATGAGATGGGGCTCTGTGCTCAGCACAGAGTCTGCTCAAGATTCTCTCTCTTCCTCTCCCTCTGCTCTTACCCCCGCTCTTTCTCTCTCTAAAATAAATCTATAAAAAAATAAAATAAATAAAATTCTACAGTGCTTAGGCTAAAGGGTCCCAGCCAGCCTATGATCCACCACTCTGTACATGACCTTTGCCCCAGACATTTGAAGAGGGGCTGATGGTAAGTGTCCCATACCTGAGGATATGCACAGCCTTTTTCACCCACTTCTTCTTTGGATCTGCACACACAGCCAATCTTTTCTTTGTGTAAAAGCTTAAAAAAAAAATTTGATTTGTGCTTAAAGAGTTTTCAATTGCTATTTCACAGAACATGCAATGGAAATTTTGTATTCCAGTGGACTGCTCTACCCACTAAGCATTTTATTTATTTCCGAGGTGAAACAAAATACAAAAAAAAAGAATTGTTTCTGATAAATCTTAATGCAGGAAATGAAAGTGATTCTCTCCTTTCTCTGTATTTTAACAAATAGCTGTGCAATGACTGGAAAATAAGTCTCAGAATTGTTATTTAATTTTGTTGCTGGTGGTTACACAAAATATATGTATATCCAACCAATAACCTATATCATTCTGAAGTATAATATCCTAGATGGATCGATTATTACATGTGAAAGTCTAATAACTCTGAGTTTTTACTTACAGCCCCAACCATTCTCTGGTAGAAGATGCTCATTTCAAAATTTATGTCTCCCATATTTTCCTGAGATGGCATGTTAGTAGCTTATAAGTTTATCTTAAAAAGTGATTTTGCACTCAACTTTGTTCTTTAAAAAAAAAAAAACTAAACTAAACTTTTGCCTTATTCCAGTCCTATTTAAACTTTGGAATACATATGTACTATCAAAACAAACATATCTTTGCCCCATCAGTTATTTCTGAAACTCCAAAAAGGCAAAAATTTTTTTACACTTGAAATTCCCACGTACTCCTGACACAATCGAATGACAGTCAATGAATAACTTACATGACAGCATTGATGTCACAAGCTTCATTGGCCAGCTGCTGTGTGAAGCCCGCGATAAATTTGGGATGAAGGACATGTTCTGTATATCGAAGACAGCAATCAAAGTTGCTTGCTGCTGAAAAGACATTAAAGGTATTGAGTATACATGAATGAATTTATCCTGTAATAGGTATTATGGAACTACTCAAAGCTGTAGTTGTATATGGTAAAGAAACTATTTAGAGAAACAGTTCCAATGTCTTTGAGACCTGATTTAATGTAATTTCCAGCTCTCTTAAAAAAAAGAGCGGGAGAGCTTATGTGCTGGGAGATTTTGGTTTAATAATACAGTTTAGAAGCCCGTGACTTCTAACAAAAGGAATATCTCTAGTGAGAAACACAAAATGACAGTGTTTTATTTAAGTTCATTATAATCACTCAAGAATATGACTATCTCTCACTTGAAGAAACTCTTGTAGATAAACCTCCAAATTCAGAAAATGAATAAATATGGAGATTTTAATCTATCACTTAGTACAGAGCATTGAGAGGAGGGGAATGATAAGAAGTTACAAAGGAAAATGCAATTTATAGGAGCTTCAAAAGCACTTTGAAATTGTGATATTAGTGGAAATATTTTGGTCATAAAAGTTCAACACGTGCATTTCCAGGAATGCCCCTGTTGCTAAAAGTGATGTACTCTTATAGCCATAAAGCAATACTCAGATACTCCCCCAGGTTAAATTATAACCTGCTGTAAGGTAAGGGATCAATGTTATCTCTAAGTTGGCAAGAAATGGCCCAAAGCCATGTAAGGATGGAGAGGTCAGATGCCATAATCTGCCCCAAAGGATGAGTTTTGAAGTTTACTAAAACTATTTAGGTGGGAGGTGAAAAAGTTGGAAACGTGGGAGTGTTTCCTACATTTCAGAATGACGACCCAATTCACTGGTAACATGACAACTTACATCACTCCCCAAAATAGCACTTTGGCCTTGTTGCGGAGCTTGGGGGGTTCTCTCAGAACCCAGCCACCCCAAATATCTGCTGGGATTGAGAGCAGAGGGGAAAAAAAGCCTGATCAGCAGCAGTAACCATTTGCTCCTCACTCACCCAAAGAGCTGACAACTCCCATCACTTCTGAAGACTTTCCAACAGGCTCCCATTCTTTGGGGACCCCCAGGGGAGCTCAAGGCTTAGAGGAGAATGAAAACATTTCTTCGCCCGTGTCAGCAGAAAGAGTGATACTTACCTTCTGACTTGCTGCAGAGGTGGATGAGCAACACTGACATCAAAGCAACCAGGAGCAAATTCTTGCTACTGCACATCATTTTCAGCTCAAAGAATAGATCTGCTCAGGGCTGGGTACCCAGTGCTCTGGGAGTGCTGCTAGGTTCTGACAGTAGACTGTGTCTGGGATAGCCCTACTTATAGCAAATATTGGGAATGTACACAGAAGGCGTGTTCTGACATGGGTTTTCCCCCATTGATCAACCTGCCCCATCATGTCGTCACAAAGAAAAACCACAGGGAAAACTTCCTGCCTTTCCCTAATGTTGGGAAGCTGTGAAGGTCAGGGTTGGGGGGGAGGTGTTTGAGAGGGGAAAATCCTGTTAAATCCTTTGGGTTTGCATAGAGGGAAAGCAGCCCAGCCCTGTGGTTCAGAAATGGGTTTCATGCAGTTTTAACTTAATCTCTTGTCTCTGAAAAGAGAGGACAAAGATTAACAATGATACAAAGGTCAGCCCTACACAGGAACATTACAGGACTCTATTGTTACACTCTATTTGCTTTCCAGAGTCAATTGGGAGCAGGAGGATGATAGGATGCCAGGCATACTTGGGGATGCATTTATAATTGCACGGTTGGTGCTCAGCTATCACCAAAGACCTGGAATTTCTAGGCTACCATTCAGATTAGGTAATATGACAATGCTGTAGTAGTGTTCCCAATGTTGGTGGAAAATACCAGCCCTTAAATAAGACTCAAGCCTCAGCTTCATCTTGATGTCATGTCAATTCTTCTAAGAATCTTCTACATTTGAACGACTCTAATCAATACTGTAGCCCAGAAAATAATCCCCAACTGCCCTTGACTCTGCATTCTGAGGTAGTTACATAGCTCCACAAAAAGCCTCAGAAGGGTTGAAGAAAAAAGACAATCAACAAAATTAGTGTCAAATAATAGTGATTATGATCATAATGTAATATGAATCCCTAACCTATGATGGTATAATGAGAACTCTCCACAAGGGAAAATATCACTCTGTGCTAAGGATTAGGTTTGCGGGAAGGGAGTTTTTGGAGTTAATGTAATTTTTTCTATCCTACCACAGGCACGGTTACATATATCTACACATATGTTAAAATGCCTAGAACTATACATCAAGAGAAAAAATGACTTGTATTGTATGATTATTTAAAAAATAAATTTAAAAACCATTAAAATCATTAAACAAAAACTATCCACTAAACATAAATATGTTGAAAGTAAATAGATCAAAAAAGATATACCATGTAAGCAGTTAAAAAAAAAAAAGAAAACTGGAGTTGCTATATCTGGCAAAATGTATTTTAAAACAAATATTGTTACTAGAGTTAAAGAGGGAGTTTCATAATCATAAAGGAGCAATCCATTGGGAAGATACAAGAATTATGACCATACATACACCTAACAATAACATCCAAAAATACATGAAGCAAAATTGACAGAATCGAAGGGAGGAATAAGCAATTCAACAATAGCCAGATACCTCAATACCACATTTCCAGTAATGAACAGAAAAACCAGACAGAAAACCCACAAACAACACTGTAAACCAACTAGACCTAATAGACATCTATAGAACACCCTACAACAGAACAGGCATCCTTCTCAAATGCATATAGAACATCCTCCAAGATAAATCATATGCTAGGTCACAGAATGAGTCTTAATAAATTTAAAAGGATTGAAATCATACCAAGTATGCTTTCAAAACCACAATGGAATTAGAATCAATAACAGAAGGAACTTTGGGAAGTTTACAATAATATGTGGATATTAAATGGTATATTCCTGTATAACCAGTGTATCAAAGAAGAAATCATAAAGAAAGTAGAAAACACTTTGAAATGAATGCAAACGAAAACACAGTGTACCAAAATTCATGTGGTACAGCGAAAGTACAGCTCAGAGAGAAACTTACAGCAGGGATACATGAAATAAGAAAGAGCAAAACAATAGAGGAGATCAGTGGAACTCGAAGTTGGTTCTTTGAAGAGGTCAACAACATTAACAAGCTTTAACTAGACCAACCAAAACAAAGCAGATGCAGGGGTGCAGGGAACAAAAGAGGGGTCATCACTACCAACTATAAGAAATAAAGAGGACTATGAACAACCATATGCCAACTAGTTAGATAGTATAGAGGAAAGGGACAAATTAGTAGAAAGGTATAAATTCCTGAAACTAACCAAGAAAACAGAAAGTTTAAAAAGCTCCATAACAAATAAAGATATCACATTGATAACTAAAAATATTTCCATAAAGAAAAGCCCAGACACATACGGCTTCATAGTAAATTCTACCAAACATTAGGAGAAAAATTGAAACCAATTTCTTCAAAAACTTTCCCATTATGTAAAAGAGGAGGGAACAATTTCTAGCTCATTCTATGAGGACAGTATCACACTGATATCAAGGTAAGATAAAGACATCACAAAAAAATAAAACTACTGGTCAATATCCCTTATCAATACAGACATACACACACACAAAAAAATACTCTACAAAACATTAGTAAATGGTATCCAGAGACATATAAAAAGGATCATGCACCATAACCAAGTGGGATTTATCCTAGGAAATGCAATACATAATACTAACTGAATAAAAAATGTATGAAAAGATTTGACAAAACCCAACACCCTATGATAAAAAAACACTCAACATACAAGGAAGAGGAAAGAACTTCCTCAATCTGATAAAAGAAGTCATCTATGAAAAATCCCACAGCTAATCTCATACTTATTGTTGAACAACTGAATGCTTTCCTCCTGAGATCAAGCCCAAGACAAGGATGTCCATTCTCACCAGTTCTATTCAACATTGTACTGGAGATTCTAGCCAGGACAACTAGACAAGAGAAGGGGAAGGCCCCCAGACTGGAAAGGAAGAAGTAGCTATCTTATTTGCAGATGACAGGACCATATATATAGAAAATCTTAAAGAATCCACTAAAAAAAACTATGAGAACTAATAAGTTCAGCAAGGTTGCTAGAGTTGAGATCAATATACAAAAATCAATTGTATTTCTATACACTATCAATGTTCATTGATAATAATGTCCACCTGAAAATAAAACTAAGAAAACAATTACTTTTACAATAGCACCAAAAAAAAGAATAAAATACCCAGGCATAACTTTAACAAAAGATGTGAAAAATGTAACTAAAGTTACAAAACATTATTAAAGAAATTAAAGAAGACTTCTAAATAAATGGAAAGACATCCCAGGTCATAAATTGGAAAGACAACATTGTTAAGATGGCACTACCACCCCTCAAAAACTGATCTGCAGATTCAATACAATTCCTATCAAAATAGCAGCTGGCATTGCAGAAATGGAAAAGCCAATACTCAAATTCATATGGAATTGCAAGAGATCACAAATACTCAGAACAAGCCCAACACAGGAAAGGAAGAACAAAGTCAGAGGACTTACAGTTCCTGATTCCAAAACTTCCTACTAAACTACAGTAATTAAGACATGTGGTACTGGCATAAATGTACACACATAAATCAATGGAATAGAAGAGTCCAGATATAAACCACCCTTGTATAGTCAACTGATTTTTTTTATGGTGCCAAGACCATTCAATGGAGGAAAGAAAAGTCTTTTCAACAAATGGCACTGGGACAACTATATATTCACATGTAAAAGAATGATGTTAACCCCCTACCTCACAACATGCACAAAAATTAACTCCAGATGGATCATAGACCTAAATATAAGTGCTAAAAGTATGAAACTCTTAGAAGAAAACATAGGAGTAAATCCTCATGCTCTTGGCAATGGTTTTTTCAAATATAATAGCAAATCTCAAACAACAAAATAAAAAACAAACTGGACTATATCAAAACTATAAATTTTTGTGCTTCAAAGGTTACTATAAAAAATGTGGAAAAAACAACCCACAAATACATAGGAAATAATTTGAAAATCATATTTCTGATATGGAACTTTTACTTATTTCCAGAATATATGAAGAACTCTTATAAATCAGTAATAAAAAGACAAGCAACCCAATTGAAAAATGGACAAAACACCTGAATAGACATTTTCTCAAAGATATGTAAATGGTCAACAAGCACATGCAAAGATGCTCAGTGTCAATAGTCATTAGGTAAATGTAAATCCAAACCACAATAACATGTCACCTCACACCCACAAGAATGGCTATAATGAAAAAGATGGATAAGAAATATCGACAATGATGTGGAGAAATTGGAACCCTCATACACCGTTGATGAAATGAAAAATGGTACAGTCACTTTGAAAAACAGTTTAACAGTGCCTCAAATGGTTAATCATGGAATTACTATATGATTCTGCAATTCTACTCCTAGATATACACTCAAGATAAGTGATAACATATGCCCACACAAAAACTTGCCCATGAATGTTCATGGCAGCTTTATTCATAATTGCCAAAAAGAGGAAACAATCCAAATGTCATCAGCTGATGAATAGATAAACAAAACGTGGTAAATTTGTACAATGGGATATTATTTGGCAATAAAAATGAATGAATGATGGATACTACAACATAGATGAATCTTGAAAACACTGTATTAAGTAAAAAAAATGAGCATAAAAGGCCATGTATTATATGATTCCATCTATATGTAATGTTCAAAAGTGGTAAATCTATAGAGCCAGGAAGTAGAATAATTATCTAGGGTAGGGTGGAGTGTCAGGGGAAAGGGAGGGGAATGGAGTATGATTGCTAATGGGTATGTGGTTTCTTTTATAATCTAAAAATAGGTGGTAATTAGGGTTGCATAACACTATGAGTATACTGAGACACAAATTGTGCACTTGGAAAGAGTGAATTTTATGGTATATGGATTATATCTCAACAAAGCTCATAACAACAATAAAAAATTCTCCACCTACCTAGGTCTAACACCTGCACCAGCCCACAGATTCTCTCTCCTTTTCTAGGACTGCTCTTGACTGCTTGCAGTCTCTGCATTTATCTTTCTTCCTCCATTCCTGTTGTCTCTCTTCTTCTCTTCCTTCTCTCTCTCTGAATCACATTAGTTTTTTGAACTGATTATTTGGGTACTTTTTTATATTTCTTGAAATTGCATTTCCCAGTGCTTA